TAGCTCCAGGCGCGTCCGCCGCGTACGGTCATTGGTGCTTTAAACCCGTTTGCCTTCCTCTTTGGGGAAAGTTAGCAGAGCGTCCTGGCCACCAACCACCTGCGTCTCGCGGTTGTCGGGAGTCTGGGTGGCCGTGCGCAGGGCAGTTATCCTTTCCCCCGAGCGGTGAAGGAGGCAGGACTGTTGAGACGACTTTAAAATGGAGACGGATTATGCAGGGATTTGAGCCCCGGCCGCCCCCTCAACCCGAGGCTGCGTTTGTTCAGCGCGTCGTGACCGGCCGGGCGTGCGCGCTAACTCACCGGTTAACGACAGTCAGGGCCTGTCCTCCTCGCCCCCGGAGACTTCGGACGCAGGCAGCGTAAACCCGCCGCCGTGAGCTGTGCACAGTTTTAAACACGCACTGGCCGGGGGAGCCCCTTTGCAGGGCGGGAAGTACGGCCTGAGGGCTGGCCGCTCGGCGCTCGGGTTTAAAGTGAGAGCGAGACGGCTTCAGTTCTCAAGTTGGACCCTTGTCAGAGTAAAACACGCACCGTACGAAATTTTAAACTCTGTCCCCGCTGCGCTGTCCCCTGCAGCAGTGACACGGGTCTACAGGGGTGCCCTTGGCCCGGGGACCTGCCCATTGAGCTGATGGGACGCTTCTCTCCGAGAGGGACTCGGGCTCCTCACGCCCACCCTCCGGCCGGTCTCCGCATAGCCTGCGGATTTGTTCAGCGCCTTCCGTGTGCCCTGCGTGAAGGCCACCGCGCAGGGAGGCAGGCAGCCCGGCGCCCGGCCCCAGCTCGCCCCCAGTGTGTTCAGGGGCGTGGGTCCTTCGGCAGGTGGCCCAAATTGTATCTTTGATTTTTGGTCGTCTGTCCGTAATTCACCTGCACCTTCCGCGGCGTCTCTCCAAAGTCCCCGGTCTCTGCGCCGCCCTCAGCTCAGTTCCGCGCGGCTCTGACGACGTCCCGACACTGCCTGCTCCTCGCTGCCTCCCTCCGCTGCTCGCCGGACCGAGGCCTCGTCCGACAAGCCCGTAAGAACGCTTTCTCCGGCCCGATCCATGCGAGCGCCCCGCCCATGGCCGTTGCCCAAGGACTAATCGGCAACAGCTTCTCGGCACATCACCTCCCCGATGGGTCGTGGGCACACGGTTTGGTTACACACGAGCTGACCATTCTACGTGTTCGTGTACAGCCCACCCACTCCGAGCGGCCTTTGCTTTCTTTGCCTTCACTGCCCTCCCTTCCCAGGCCGTGAACTAGCAGCAGAAACACAGCAGGCAGAGCGGGGCGGGCGGGGCAGGCAGTGTGTGTGCGCAGAGCCCCGCGGGCCCCACGCCGCCCGCGGGCCCGGTGCCGGAGCCTCCTGATCAGAAGCTCCCGGCGTGCGGACTCGGGGACGCGGGACGCGGCTCCTCTCCAGCTAGGCCCTTCCCCGCTGCGCGTCTCAAGCACCGACCTGGTGCGTCCTGCTTCTGATCTTGCCGGCCTTTCACGAGCCTGTCCCTTGAAAACGACAAGTGGTCCTGATACGCTGGGTTAAAAACCTTTCAGTCGGGGCTTGTTTGTGAAGCGGCTTCAATTACCAGGGATTCGCAGCCGGCGGGCATCCTCTCTGCTGGCTCCGGAGCGGCACCGGCAGCCCCAGTCGCCGTGACAGCCACGTGGCGGTGCTGCCGCTGGGCCTCACAGGCTCCGGGGTGCGGCGGGGGCCCCGCACGCTCGCAGTGTAAGGGATAAAAGCACATTGGAACACGGCCGCTCCCTGTGTGCAGATGCACCCCATCCCACATGTCTTATCTGGTGGCTGTTATTTTGCAGCATGTTGTGAGCGGAAGTCATTATCTGGGACGTGTGCAGGGAAGAAGCGGGTTTCCATGCCCCCCCCTCGTGGACTGGACCTGCAGGTGGCTGAGGCTCCCGTCCGGTCCCAGTGAGGGTCTTCCTGGTGACGGGGCAGAAGCAAACCTCAGCAAACAGCCTGGGCAAAAAGCGAGAGGGAGCGGAGAGGCGGTGGGAGCAGCTGGCCTGGAAGGAGAAAACACTGACCCAGGGACTCACGTTGTTTTCAAGCTCACACATTTTCCAGAAGGGACCGGCACTGGAGGGACTAGATGTTTTACGTGTCCTTCGGTAACAACTGCAGGAAACCAGCTCAAGTCAGTGTAAGCAAAGGAAGAGATTTATGTGTTTATGTCAGGGAAACGTTGAGGGGTGTGTTGGCTTCAGGCACAGCTTGATCCAGGGCCCCAAACAATGTCTCTTGGCATCTCTCCGCTCTCTGGGGTGGCTTCCTCTTCGGGGAGGCGCTCTCTGAGTGCAGGCCCCAGGCAACCCCAGGCCCCACACCGTCGGCCTAGCAGCCCCAGCAAGACTGAAGCTCCTTTCTTCCTGGTGAGCCGGGGACAGCCTCTCGTGGGCCTGGCTCTGCGTGGCCTGCGCCCTGACCCAGTTCCGCAGCTAGGAGGGGCCGGCACTCAGATGGGCCACATCTGGGCCTCCCTGGGGCGCAGCCCTGCGGCCCTGGGGTGAGTTAACTCCAAATGAGTCACAGGGATGAGAGGGGATCAGGGCGGCACCTGTGAGCTGAGGGGAGCAGCGAGTGTGGGGACAATGGGCAGCAACTGGGCAGCCCTGCCTGTACCTCCTCACAGTCGGCCATGGCTGTGTCCTTCGTCTCTCAGACCAGAGACTCAGAACCACTTTTAAGAGCTGACACCTTTGAGAAGTATGAACCCATTCCCCCCCCCCC